GATACTCATACATCTCTACTACTTAATGCACCGGTAGCTCTTTTTCATGGCATAGGAGATCACTTTATGAGATCTGACCAAGGGACGCAGCTGTATTACTATTTCAACGAAATCTCAGGTAGACCATCATTCGAAGAATCAAATCGGAACGGATATAAAAGCATGGGATAATCAAATGTTAAGAGTGTGTCACGCAAACTAATTGGTTGTTTTGAGTGATAGTGATTATCGCAAGAACAATTTTGTTCTATCTAATAAGTTGAAGATGTAAGAGAAAACTTAGTTTAAAGTCTATGTCGTCTATGAAATCAACTAAAAACTGGCTCCTCGATTCCAACGACAATACCCAATACAAAAGCTATAACTTGCGACTCTAAAACAGTAATCTACAAAAGATCATCCTCGACTAACGCCTTTTTCACTAGTTTTCTGTAAACCCTGCTCCTCACTCTCGCTGAAAACCATCTCGTTTCCCCGAGTGGCTCCACGAGCAACCATCAACACCGGCACCACAAGTACCTCCTCGCGATGAAGAAGGACGGAAAGAAGTAAGCAATTTCCAGAAGGCCCGGTCTACTCGTGGCATCGGTACTTAAACGGATTTCCTTTTGTACTCCAGTCTTTAGACAGCTTGGAACTAGTCTCGTAGCCACTGTTGATCGTATTCGGTCTCCATTAAATTCTCTGTGCTTCGTGCATTCAGTTCATCGAAGTTTATGCTGAACGCTTTGTTATCTCTATCGTAGTAGCACTTAGGCAAGCTGTAAATGACAAAACAACTGATAATAATCGAGTATCGTATCAACGAATCAGTGAAAATAATGAGTGAAAACGAGATGAAACGAAGTCCTCTGGTTAATTTTCTTCGCAATGCAAAATATTCATAGACGAGATTCATCTCTCTTTCGTCTTCCTTTCTTTTCTTTATTTTTCCTGCTTGCGCACGATTTCGCGTCAAGAAGTGATAGAGTGAGGAATGACAGCGAAGGAGGGGAAAAGAGGAGAAGGAGGTGGGCAGAAAATAACTCTTGAGAAAGTGTTAGGAGAGACTCGTTGATCCGCACCACAAATTCGGTAGTCGAGAAAGTTACGTCTAGGTAGAGAATTTTGATTCCACGGCGTTTGATTCCAATGCGTGGACCTATGGGAAATTTGAAACCATGGTGTAGAATAGCGTGTGGTTCAATTTTAACAATTATAATTGGATTGGTGTGATTGAGATATCGAAGAAGAAGATTGGATTGCGATTCGAGAAAAGAAGATATAGATCAGTGGAGTTAAATTTGATGTCGATTATGGTATGTAGGATCATGTAATTAGTATTGTAAAGGTGGTGAAATATGTAGCGATTCAAGAAGTTGTTGAAAATCATTGAAAGGTTTTAAGACATAATTGTAGAAAAAGAAGAAATCAGTAAAATTTAATTTTGATCCTATACAGTCCTATCATTAGTACTGCAGAAGAGGAAATGGAAGATATGAACCTTTTTGTTGAAGATATGACCAGATAAAAATTATAATAATCGAAGAAGATTTTAAGTCGAGATTAGAAGGGGAGACAAATCAATGGAATTGAATTTTTAACATATAAAGTCGTCTAATTAATTAAATGACAAGAAATAAGAAAATGTAGATTTTTGTAATTGAAATTATAATTATAATAAAGTTTCTAGTAATAGGTTGAATTAAAAAGCCTAAAATCAGATTAATATTATCGAAGAAATTTTTAACATCAGTAGACTAAAAAAGTAAAGGATGGAGCAAATAAATTGCGACAGTCTCGTGTAATTAAGAAACCTGAAATTACCTTCAAGATTATGAAATTGGAAAAGCATTACTGCAATCGAACCTGTGTAAAATGTAGTTTTTGTTGCTTCATAACAAGAAAGAAGGAAAAGAAGGAAAGAATAGAATGTGCAATAATGCGTTGCAATTAAATTTAATTAGATTAAATATACGACCTTGAACAGATTACTACGATTTTTTCCTTCGATTACAAAATCAGATATCATTGCACTTTGCTTAATACTTTGGATGTCATCCTACAATTGAAAAGTTAAAAAGAGATCGTAACGTAGTGAGGGAATCATGATGAAAAATGTTATATAGCTACCTTTAAACTTTTGAATTTTGTTGTCATGTCATCTGTGGTAAAACCTGCGAAGTAAAATTTCAATGTAAATGCAAATGAACTATGAATTGAGAGTCATCAAATGATTCGCTAATGTCACCTTCATAGAATCCTCGGTGAATCAATTTTGAAGTAAATCGAAAACGCATTCACCACGCAATCTTGAGATCCAATCACTGTTTTACGCCATCAAAATGGCGAACGATGTCTGATTATACACGGAACACTCTCCTGGCAAACACGTGGTTGCGATTCAAAACATTGCAAGACGAAAATTTGCTTGTAAGCAAACAGTATTCGCAATCGTGTGTACATCAAGATTTGAAAAAGACGAAACCAATTTCAACAGAAGTCCACGAAGAATACTCATCTTATTGCTACGTTTTTATACAATAATTGACAAAGAACACAGTTCCTCCGAGCTGTTATCTCCTTACTGGTAGTGTTATTTGTCCTCTTTTCTTCCGTTGTGGATCACAAAAATATAACGATACAAATACTTTTTTACTCAATTTCCTTTTTTTGCTAAGGCAGGCGTAAAGGAAGGCTCTGTAATATCGAAATAAGTAGTGTTTAAAATTCTTTACTCTGTTTATTTTTCTCTTAAATTGCTGAAACAGTCGGTGAATAAAATATACTTTTATAAACGTACCTGATACGAAAAAGAAGAATCACAGGAATCATGAAATTATTATTCAAATAATCTGAGCCTGTTAATCACCATCAAATGACTGATCACCAGCAATATCGTATTTTATTATTCTTGATCTTCGAACAATCTACAACAATGTTAATGACACTTCTGACGTTTATACTATAATGATAATAGTATAAACCAGTGACCTCAAGTGTTATTCACACCACGTCAACGTTCACTTGCGTAGGTCAAGCGATTTCGATTTAATTGTCAATTCCATAATCTCGTCTGTCACTCGTGATCTGAAAATGAGACAAGAATAGAATTAAAATTTCCTTATTGTTACATTTATAATTTTCTAAGATACACAAAATTAATTTACTCCTCTGTTTATAAATCTGAAGAATATTTTTATTATTTATTCCTAGTTAGGACAAAAAGACCATTACAAAAACTTTTTTACTCTGCAATTTGAATTATAATAAACGTAATTATTCATGACACTTCAAAGTCTTCGACGCAACTCCTCTTTACAAATTATATATTAGTTATACAAGTGGCATTCTAATGATGTATGCGATTAACTCACAATTAGCTAATCGCTTGGAAAATTGCATATGCAACTGATAACATATACTGTAAATATCATTATACATGCCTAAAACGCATCGGTGAATGTTTCAGTTTTTGACTGAAAATGATAACCCACGCGTGAGAAATTTGTTTAAGATAAAAGAGAAAACTTAATTTAACGGAAGGAAGAAATTTAATTTTCTTTCTTTTTCTGCAAATTATTTAATATTTGCTGAAAAGTGAATAAGAGACCTTAGTCGACAGGATTATGCAATTATTTATAATCTATAGTACTGTAGAAAAAGATGGATGAATTTTTGTATCCTTTTATGATCTCAAAGGAAAAAATATTCATATAAAAAAGAAATTCGTGGAAGCAGAAGAAGATACTAATTAAATGGGCAAATAATTTAAAGAAGTTCCACGAATAGAGATTTTCAAGATCGTACAGGAACAATTCGAGAAGAACAAACTGAAGTTTATTGAAGAAAAATTCGGTCGAACTTTTTTTGCGACAATAATAGAATATTCGAGTGGAAACATTCAAGAAAATAATTTACTCTTGAGTATTTAATCGTACAGTACAGAAAATTTGGATTGGGCAGGCGAGGTCAACCAAGTTTCGTGAAGGAAGAGATATAAAGAATACGAATGGGATAGAAATCAACAAAATCCGAGATTCAGAGTACTTTTTAGCTGTGATTAAAGATATTGAAAATCTGTAAAGAAAATCGAAAAGAATATTTTAGGAAAAAAAAATGTACGAATTATAAGAAAAGAGTTAAATAAATTTTAATAAAGGAATATAACGTGCAAATAACTGAAAATATGAAAAAAGGTCAATATCATAAGAGACATCTAGCACGAAGAATAATATTGCGTAGTATAAAGAACTTTTTTCCTCAAGAACACATTGATAAGTTTTAAGTTTTAAGTTTTTTAACTAAAATGATATCGTAAATATATAATGTATACTTTATATTAGTGAAAGCCACAAAAGTCAATTTAATTACTGGAATAACTAACCAAAATAGTCTTCAACCGCAAGACCGACGTAACAGGGTCCTATGGTAAACGAAGTGGGATCAAAATCCAAAACTCTTGTCCGTCCACTGTCCAAGCCAGTACGCACTACGAATGGCAAACAGAATTACCACAGCATTGTTAATTATTATTTCAACGATAAAGATTTCCATTTGATGTTTATTAAAATTGATAAAACATTGCATACCGTTTAATGCATCGAAAGTTTCCTGCAATCTATATTCAATCAACATTTGAGTCGATATCAAATACATTAACTAAATAAAATTTAAAACAAAAATTCGGGATAGGTCAGCGGAAATGTTTTCCAATAAAGAACGTTAGATCATGTAATCGTTGAAAAATAGACAATACATAATGTTATTCGAAATCTATCTTGTCTTATTTGAAATGTTCGAAGCCATTCTATTATTATCATATTACCATTTGTCCTTTGTCAAATTTTGTCTCTATGAACATGTTTGAAGAACACGACATTGAATATATACAGCAGCACAGAAGCTATATGAAAGAACTGATTACGAAGAAAGACGAAACGTTCTTTTGGTAAGGATAGGTTGATCATAAGGTTATCTAATAAATGGGAAAAAAATACTTACATATACAGTATACATGGCATTCATTTTAAATGCTCATTCTACAAATATACACTATCCTTGAATTTAGCTAAATGCTTGCTACCAACGTCTAAAACAATATTTCCCCAATTATCGATATCTCAAATTCGGTAGTTTTACTTTTTTAATAGAATAGCAAGAGTTGATCGTTCACAAGTTTTCACCAGACTAATTACCATAGTATATTTCTAAGATACACATTCACGTTGCCCATTTGTAGCTCGTTTTGTTTCGGTAAATTAAACTTTCGTAATGTGCGACACCTTGTGGGGCGCCCTAATACGTCAGTGGTGGTTATTAGTGTGTTAGACGGTAACGATTACGTTTTCAATCTGGTTCGCTTTTTCAGTTGTACCAGAAGGTGATCGGTGGTTTTACGAAACGCCCCACCACAATAATGTTTTACTTAAGTATGCTACACTCGTATTGAGCCAGCTTAGTCCGTCGCGCTTATTCAAATCTCGCACGACTGAGAAAAAACTTGACTACCGAAAAATCGAGTTGGTACATAATGATTATTGGCTGGTTAGCAGTGGTACTGATTAATTTTCAGTTCAATAGTTTTTGAATTACTCGGTAGATGTCAGTTTGTTCCGTGAACTCAAAAGAATGGGGTTCATTTAAATATAAATAACAAATTTTTTCATAGGAATATTCAACAAATAAGAACGTAGGTATTTATTTACATTTTTGAGTTATTTTAAAATGATTTTATACATATGTATTGAGGTTTTTTGTTTTCACGTTGAGATAAAAGATAACAAAAGGTTGGGAAATTCAAATGTTTGAAAAATTGAAATTAAATATTTGGAAATGATGAATCATTGAACGGACGGAAAATGGGGAACATAAAATCGTTAAATGAAAAACGATTTTAGAAAACGTTAAAAAATTTGTATTTCGATCAATTAAAAATTCAAAATGATTGATCTATGATTTTTATTATTATAATTTTTTTTTTTATAGTTTATTAAAATTGTTCGAAATTCAAATGAAGAAATGTCAAATACAAAGATAATATAAATGACTTTTTAAGAAGGGAAGATAAAAAGGAAACTTTAGTTTTGTTTCAAATGATAAGATAACCGAATGAAAACAAGAAACGCTATTAACATAGATGTTTCATCCAATAATAATAAAATTTACAATGTAAACAATAGTACAAACTAACAATTACATATGTTCTGGTCCAACGAGATGTTCATTATTGGCCTAACTCGTCTTTCTGACCGTAAACCGTGAAATAATTATCAGTGACTCGTAACATAATTATCCATCGAAAGAAAATAAGGAAACATGGAGCTCCTATTGTCCATGCTGCCATTGCTATATACTAAACTTCTGATTAATCGTACGGTGAGTATTGGCGAACTAATAAATTCTTACAAAAAAATTTTTTCAAAGAAATAAGAACAAAAAATTATAAGAAATTTAGAAAGAAAGAGTAGAAAGTGTAATTTATTTCTATTTAAACATTTAAGTTACCATTTACCGTGCTATAGTTTAAGAACGTGTAGCAATAGCTACTATCGAATGTCCATGACTCACATGCCCATGGGTAAGTATGGTACAAATAGATATTTCGAATGCGTCGGAATTGCGGCCAAGCAAACATGGGAAGTAATTGAGGAGAAATGATCAGTCAAAGGTTCCCTTTCACGTGCAATGCCATATGGCAAGCAATGTTTGCAAAATTATATATAACAAAAGTGATCAAATGAAAAGTATAATGATAATTCTCACAATTTTGCAGATCGTGAAGTTGAATTACACTATGAAATATTGCTTAAATCACTGCTATCCTGTAAATGATTAATCAATATTAGAATATCATTCTTTAATTAGTAGTACTATTGTAGTAGATATTTATCGATAGTTCTTTCCTCATTCTAAACTATTCTCTTTTCTACTTTTTTACTTACGTTCAATTATGCATATCTTCTTTCTATGATTGTCAAGTTTTCAGTAAACTTTTAATAAAATTAACGATTATATACACCTACAATTAATTAAAAAATATTTATGAAATAAATGTTTATTTATATATATTTCATAAAATTTATTTATTATTTATTAATATTTATATATATTTTAAAAATTTTGAAAAGTTATTAATAATTATGTATTATTTTAAATTAATGAAAGTTGAAGTTTAAGACGATAACTACTGCAGGAAAAATATTCAATTGTGCATTTAATATCGAAAATATGTCATTATAAAACGTGATTAATACCTAAAACTATGTAATTGAAATATGTTTTTCACGAATTCGATATCATATTTCGAATTAAAAATATTTTAGGAAAGAATCGAGTAAAAAATAATCAGTTCATTTTCTCTAAAGTTTAATCGTATTCCGTATCTCGGAATCAATGCATTTGTAATAGATATTTTTTGCAACTTCTCAAAGTTCTTTCAAATTCAGACCTTGACTGTATTGGACACTTATTTCATATTCGCTAATGAAAGCTAATGAGAAGGAATGATCATTTAATGAGCATTCGTGATTTATGACATTCTTTTCTTCTGACAGTATCAATAGCCATAACCTTAAACTGTTAGCGATAATAATCATTAATTATTAATCAAACATAATAATGTTGACTTTTCTCGTGCTAGAAAAATTGGTCCTGCAATCAATTATAATATTTGTATGGTTATGTCATACAATTATAACAGACATTTTAACCATTGTCAAACTTACTTCTTGAAATTGTGGACTAAATATCCAAATTATGATTTTAAATATTCGAAGCAACGAATATTTTCATGAATATATACCAATCTAATTCCATATTCATGGTCAATATTTTTATTATCGTATTAATGTTTGATTGACCGCGTAAATCATTCGTCACCTTCCTCAATAAAATTTACCGCCGAAACTTTTAATGATGCTCCTTAGTTAATCTTTCCATTGAACCTTATTTATTCCAAATGCAATCGTAATTATAATTTTGAATTATACATCCTTATTTACTTGGTATTTCTTTATTTACATTTATATAGATTTCGAACAAATCTTACCTCACTTCTTACCCCAACATTGACAACAAAAGTTGAAATTGTATCTTATAAAACTTTTATTCGAGTGTCAATTTTTAATAGAGATTTATTCGATCAAGAATTTAATATATCCTTTTATGTTCTCCATAGGAAACAATAATTTTGATCCTTCATAGGATATTGAAGTTCCTGCTGGTTTTGATTTCCTGCATAGTAACGCCATTTGCAAAATTACAGTTCTTCAAGAAACGAAAGAAGCTATCAGCGATCAAAAGTTATTTGCTATTATCATCAGCTAGTGAAATCGCGCGAAAGATTCGCAGAAGAGAGGTACAGTGACAACGGATAAAACGAAATATAAGTCACATACGGAAACTTGCTTACCAAACAGGATGATAATTGCAGTTTCCTCGAAAAATAGTTCCATTCCTATTTTACCGATAGATGATATTTTTACAGATAAGCAGCGAAGAAGTGGTAAGGGCATATGTGGACAGATGCATAGATGTGAATCCTATAATAAACGCCATCGTCGATTCGCGATTCGATCTTGCTATTCAAGAGGCGTGCGAAGTCGACGAATATTTAGCATGTACCACAAAAACCGAAAAGGAACTGGCTCGCGAATTGCCTCTTCTAGGTGTTCCCATCACTGTGAAGGGAAGTATTGCGGTTAAAGGTTAGTTTCGTTTTTTTATCCAATTCTTTTCTTGAGTAACCAAAGTAGATTCTTAATTTGCCTCCACTATGCATCTGTCTTAATTTTATAATAATTAAATAATTTTAAGCATGAAGAATCGTTATTTAGAAACCAACCATTTTAATAGTTTTTTTACTTTATTGAGATCTGCACTATGTATCGTAGTATATGAAACCCGTTTTAGAAAAATATTTGACCTGCTTTTCACGTTACGTCATATTTATAGTTCTGTAATGTTTTTGAAAGAACCATATGTGATCTAAATGTAACTGCGCGCAATCGTCATGCTATGGAATTCTTTATGCTGTTATAAACTTCAAGCAGTCTAGGAAATTTATTTACATCATCTTAATTTGCTGTTCGGAATTAATTGCGTACAAAAAATGGTTGATTATGTGCACCATTTTTATCCTTCTTGTAAACTTCTTATAGTAAAACAGGACTCGATAGTCTTTTCTATAAAGATACGAAAATAGAAATTTCCTTTTTTATTGGACAATTAACATATTGATACTAAAGTATGAGATTTATTTTATTTAATTCTATTGATATGCTTACTTATTCAAAATGATTGCTGATGAACATTTTCTCGTTATGATTAAAAAAGAGACGAATGTCCATCAGTGTCTGTTTACTATTAAACATGTTAAATACAAAATGAAATTTTACAAATACTATTTATCTATCGCATTTTCAAAAAAATTTTATCCACTGATATTGATGGATAAAGGCATAAATCCAATAACAAGGAAAATAGAAGAATAGACTTTTTAATATTATTACTATCATTTCATTAACTTTAATACTACAGTTACGCAAAATAAAATGAATATCACGGAACAAACCAAATTTTGGGGAAAACAAGATTTTCAAACTTGTTTAAATTCTCGCTTTAATGTCGCTCCAATTTAATTTAATTGGTGTTATCATTATACTGGACATTTAGTATATTTCAATAAATTGAATACATTATTTCAAACTTACTTTGTAGTCATTCAAGTATAATCGTCGCAAGCATAATTAACACAATATATATTCCAATTAACAAGAGTTTTGAAATTTGTATTATAAGAGAGTAGTAATCAACAAAGCCGATAAATCAATCTATGGCTTGCCTTTATTTTGCTTCTATGGGAACACGTGTCAGCGACCTGTCCGTTAATTTTTGTTGTTCTTTTTCCTTTCTTCGATTTCAAGCAGGTTCAATCATTGTGCGAGCAGATATTTTCATGCAACGATACCGATCACAGCGGATCTTGAACCCATTCGAGGCAATGTCGATGTGAAATCGATTTCGGAATGTGAGACCGGTTCACCCGTGTAGTCGTTGAGTGGAATGTGTGGGTGAAAGCTCGTAATAAGTGTCCTACATATTTCCTACGTACCTTTTTCCACTTATTTTCTATTCGCCTTCTTTCCACTTTTCTTTGCTCTTTCTTGATCGAAATAGCGGTCGGTAATCAGCCTGATTCTGAAGTTTAAAAGAACCTGTTTATCATCTAGTTCAACCAGTTTCGACTCCCATGAATTTGGTCAATCCAGATTTACTATTACCAAGATACATTACATAGAATAATTTATTTATTCTATTTTATTTATTTATTCTGTTATACAATTCATCTTCTAATTTATTCTTCAACTTACTGTAATTTTTCCGAAACATCCTTTTTAAAGGGTATTAAGGATCTCATGGAGAAGGATATTATGGTGAAAATATTTAACCATTAGAAGTATATTTACAGCCTCTATGTTCTATCTAATATGTTTCTCCTTCATTTTATCCATGCATCATCTATTGGCATTGAATAATTTATTATCGATTGATTATCAGTTTTTAGTTTCCAATTTCCAATTTAAATTTCTTTTTAATGAGAAAGAACGGATGGAAGATTCAGATTCAAACACGTGGCTGATTTATTCAAAAGAAAATTAAAATAATATAAATATACATTCGTTTCTTGATAGGAATGTCTTATACTAGCGGCTTGAAAAAAAGTGCTCAATGCAAAGCAACTAAAGACGCAGTAGTTGTCAATACAGTACGCAACGCAGGCGCTATTATTCTTTTGGTAAGCAATATTCCTGAATTATGTCTGTTCTGGGAGACAAGTAACCAAATCATTGGTTCCACTTGGAATCCTTATGACAACAGGAAAATAGCCGGTGGTTCTTCAGGTGGCGAGGTTTGTATTCCTCAAAACATTTCTTATCTAATAAAACTGGGAATACCAAACCGGTTTACATGATTGGTTTCGGAATTCTGGCTTGAAATATACAGATACATTTTAACAACGTTAATGTTAATGTTTGTTGAGATAACAGAATAATTATGCGTACATATCTATTTTTACTAGAGTAGTTCTAGAGTTACAGAAATAATATGTTTGAGATTTCTGAGAACGATTAAATATTTTCTAAACAAAGAAAAATGTAAATTAACTTTTTCAGCAAAAAAGATTTTTAATACTTAAAAGGATAACCTATTGTGTACTCACTCATCCTGCTGTAGATAAAGTGATGACGTATATTTCAAGGATTGCTTGATTATTTTAATTTCTCCATCTAAATATTGTGCATTATTTTGTTGAAAAGTAAAACTTATTCTTCTTGTACTTTTACTTAGTCTTCGTATTTGTAGTCTTTTTGTATTTTTACTTTCAAAATTTTACTTTACAAGAAAAGTAAGATAAAATTATAATTTCTTCTTTTAATTTTTAGGCAGCACTAGTAGCCTCCGCTGCTTCGGTCATAAGCATCTCTTCGGATGTCGCGGGCTCTGTGAGATTTCCGGCCCTGTTCTGTGGGGTTTTCGGCCACAAACCCACATCCCGTGAGTTTTTGCATTGATACCGTTCGCGAAAGATTCTGAGGTAGAAATAGGACATGATCGTCTTATAAATAATTATGTCTAAGGTTTGGTGCCAATCGAGGGTCACAAACCAAATGGTAATGATATAATTTGGACGAATTCCTTTGTCATCGGACCAATAGTCAGATATGCTGAGGATCTGTCCCTCATGATGAAGATTATATCTCAGTCGGAAGAAATTCGCAGCCGTTTCGATGAAAAGGTTGCAATTGTTGCATTCACGTAGAGTTTTAAAATCACTGAGTCTTCATTTTTGATCAAACAATTGAATACCTTATATACTTCAGGGAGCAGAACAGCTTGACACGCTGAAAAATTAGTGATACTTTAAAGGAAGATCGGAGAAAAAGTAAACGCTTGCTGATATTATTTTATTACTTAAAAAATAAAATACAAAACGAAATTAGGCACTTTAAATTAAGCGATACAATCCGAATATAAACTACAGCATCACTTACAATTCAAAGATACTAGTTGAAGTTTAAAATGTGTAAAAATTTTTAATCATTTGTTTGTGATATAATTAGAAGATAGATGATCAGTGGATTTATAATATTTCCGATATAGTAAAAAACTTTAATGACATAATGAGTGTTAACTAATTGCAATATGAATGTCTTGAGAATAATTAGATTTTGTACACTAATTTACCTTCAAGCGTACAAATAGCGTTGCTTCCTAAGGTAGACAGATAGTTAAATTTAAATTCGAAATTTTGTGAATTCGAATGATTGGTTCATTACTAAAATATTCTCATAAAAGTCTATATCTATCAATACGATGATAGTGAATGGAATATTATTCGTTGAAATTTTAGTTGAATTCCCATTTTATAGGTGTCCATAAAAAATTTGAAATTCTTTTACATGGAAGACTACTGTACGGTATTGGATTCCATAGACAATGATGTGAGGCAAGCGATCAAGGGAGTAAGGGAGCACATTGAGACAACGTATGGCCTTCAAGTACAAAAGGTTTCTTATTTTTTCAAATATGCATTTCAAATATATACCTTGACAACGACTTACATTTCTAGAAATGATTAGTCAATATTTAAATATTATTTTAGGCATATTTGAGCGACATGAAATTCTCCTTTGATATAGCTACACACTCTTTGTTAGAAATGGACGTTCCTGAAATCGAAAGTAGCATCAAACATTCGGTGAGCATCCGATAAAAACGCAATTTCACGTCCTACAAGTAATTGAATTTAATAATTAATGTTTAATTATTGCCTAGGGGTCGAGTAAAATTCTACTTGAGTTATTGAAATGCATTTTCCTCGTGTCACCATATATGCTTCCAACGATTATATATAGTATTTTAAAATTGATCTTTAGTAAATTTCCAGAGAAAATTAAAAAGAAGGTAAAAGAAAAGCAGATCTCTCTAAAGAAACAATTTGAGGTAAGTTCTAGACATTCAAACATTTGCTTCGTTGTTTTGAGTGAAACTTCAAATTCTTATTTATTTCTAAGCTTTATATTCAAAAATAGTATTTCTAAGCTAGTTGTAAACTTTAAAATTTCATTAAATTGATCTTCATGCAACTATATACCCTTCTTCTAAAAAGCAAACGGTTTTATCATTATCATATTTTCATTATCATATTAAAAACTACTTCGGAAACTGATTGCTTTACCTTAGATAAATTTATTTCTTTGATAATTAGTCAGATTAACAGTGATTCTTTCCGAGCTCAAGACTTTATAATTCAACCTATTTTGTATACGTCTTCGAAGAAACGTGTAAATATTCATTCATATGTTGCTTAATGTATTCATCACTATTAATTCACTTCTGTTCCATTTTTTATTTGAGTTCAATGTGGTAAATAGAAATGATAAAATGATACTGTCTTTTATGAGATATTATCTGTATTTTCTTTATGTAAATTACGTACAGCATTAATATTTTATCTTGTCAGATAACCTGGATATATTCTTTGAAATGCTAACTTCATACTTTTTGCAAGATGCATCATTTCAATTTCAAATATTCAAACAGATATTTATGGTAATCTTTTATTCCTACTTCTTGTTACTTGATACTTTTTGTCTCTTGTATTTTTACTATATTATTTCTTCTTTTTCAACATAGCTGCTTGAATGAGTATCAATTTAATTTCAGTGCTAAAGCATCCATACAAACAGAATTTAAATAAAAATGGAATTAACAATTGAATGATAATTTTTACGTACATATACAAGTAGTTTTTAGATTTCAATTTATATTTGTGTTTTTATTTTATCAAACGGTTAAAACTAAATTGGAAAGTACTTCTGCTTTCGTCACAGGATCTTCTAGGTGACAACGGTATATTAATCTGCCCAACATTTACATCAGCAAGCTATTACTCATATCAAACATACAGTAAGTTTGCTAACTGTACACACCTGATGATATACAACGTATTGGGATTACCTGCGACTCATTGTTCAATGGGGCTCAACAAAAGTGGTTTACCTATCGGAGTTCAAGTAAGTATACCAAGGTAAAAGTGTTACTCAAACTATGCTCAAAGCATTCGTAATAATACCAAAGACATTTAAATGTAAGATTAACATACACTACTATACCCAAAATAAGTCGCAAAATACTCAAACTAATACCCAAAGATTCTCAAAATAAGCCTCAATTTAATCACCCGAATTGAAGTAGTCTGAACGTGTTCTTCACTTACCATGTTCCTAATACTATTGCTTAAATAATTATTTTCGAATTGTTAGTTAAAACTGTTAGTCGATGCTCAGAATCTTAATTTGAGTGTTCACATTGTTATAAGAAATTTCATCTATGCAACATATTTCGATCTTTGCGTCTTTTGTACAGGTTGTTGCAAATGCTGGCAACGATCATCTTACCATCGCCGTGGCCCAGGAAATCGAGAGAGCCTTCGGCGGCTGGCAGCAACCGCTTATGACAAAATTAGATGTTTAACATCTTCTAAGTTACATAATGGGATCTTGGACAATAGCTGTGTATCGAAATTCATGAATCCGTATCTTGAACCATGCGTCTTTGTTCAGTGTCAACAAATTACTACACAATTGTGCTCCCACGCCATTACGCGACACACAAACGCGATACTTCTGTGACTGTCAATGTTTTATGAATATTTACCAAACAAATTAGGATGTAGGTATTAGGCTTTCTAGGCAAGAAAGAAATTTTGTAGTTTCATGCTACTGTAATTCGTTTCATTGAAGTATTCATAAAGTTGCACGTAATCGTAGTCAAGATAGTATTACTAAAGCATAGGAGAGAGTGAAGGGTACTACTAGAGTTTAGCAGCGGGATGTATCTTACATACGGAGAAATCGAATGTGAAGTTGGCACAAGATAAAACCAAATTCTTAAATATAGAAACGTTTATTTTTAGTTTAGTATAAACTTCAAAGATGGGTAATAGTTAGGAAAAGAAAATGATTTAGTATTAATTGTACATACTGTGCGTTATAGTGATCCGATTCGACTACCATTATTGTCAATGTTGTATATTGACAATTGTAAAATAATCGTTCCACGTTATCTGTAATCGAAAAGTTCTTAATAAAGAATTTTTTCACTTAATGTATGATGTACTTAATATTTCAAATACTTACTAATTTTGTCCAACATACTCTAACATTAAAGAAATCAGTTTCCCACTGAATACGTTAGATTCATATAATTAATGTATCTCAAGAGATACCCAACATTTTAAAAGCAAATTTTTCGTTTTAAAATATCTTGGCATTTATGGTACGTTTATGGCGTGGAAAAATAGTTCTTTCAACGCAGAGCTTATCAGTAAAGCAACTCCAACTTCCTATAGATTATCTAGTATCCCAAGAATTAATGTGCTGCAAAGAATCTAACAGATCACAACTTTGCTCTCGCAGATATATTCAATAAGGAAATAAACTGTACAAATTACGTAAATATGCGTAAATTGTATAAATTAGTCATTTCTTTTGACCATTCATCCGCAACCATTCGCTCGATCTGTGCCAATCTGTGTCCAATCGCAGGAAGTGACGGTGCGAGAAGCAACCACCCCCGAGAGCATGTTCCTCACGATTGTGGACAATATTGCACCGCACGGCTCAGTAACGTTTAAGCGGCCGCAGGCAAAAGGAACTGACCAGTACCAGTTGTGATCATCATCGTGGTCAATTCGATCGAATCATTGATCGGAGATGTGCTACATCCAAAAGTGTACAAAAATTGTTTAGTTATTTGTATAATAAATATTATATGTGTATTAAAGAAGTTCCATTGCATTTTATTTGTGCTTCAGTAGAGTGTTCATCGAAAATTGGGTATTCTTCACAGATTTCTTCCTCTACAAAGAGCTAAAAAAAGAGAAAACATAAGGTCAAACCGACAATTCTTTGGAATATTAATTTCGCAAATATATGTAGGAAGTGAGAGTTGTGAGGATTGAGAGTGACCGCGAAGGAACGCTTGGGCCTGTGATGGGTAATAAACAGCAACGTAGGGTTCAGATCGAATGTTTGGAGGGACGTCTGAAGTGCGCGTAAAAGAACGAGTAACCGCGTGCAAGGATCTAATGAAAATGATATTTATGACTGTATGGAATGCAAGTGAAGAGCGAAAGGCGCCTGAATGTTTAAAGTACGTGACCCACCGAGAGCGAGGATATGGGAAATGCGTGATTGAGAAAGAAAGCTTGAGTATGAAAGAAGACAGAGTGTAAGGTTTAAATGAAGGTGCAAGGGCTGTCCTAGGACAGTCCTGTTAGTGAGACATATACACGAGATTTGAAAGAAAGTGGAGTCGATGACAGTTTTTATGAAGTTCGAAGAATTGACGTGAGAATGTGAGTTGTGTTATTAGGCTAATCTTTTAGTCGTACTTTACTCTCAAGTCGCTTTAGCTTATAAATAAAATATATTGGAATTAAATAACATCTTTATTCCTTGTATTTCGCCAATTAAAACATATCCCTAAAACTTCTTCGCCGAGATAAGATAGGCAAACACGAGTAAATAGAAGTTTAAGTTGAGTTTCGCGAAGTTCAATTAGTGCGACGCAAAGGGCATCCAAAAGGCTACTTCGCGGAGCTGTAAAATTATTCATTAGTTATGCAAGCTGGGGTGGGTCATGGCAAAATTTTAAGAGGAAGCTAATATCGGAATTCACGGAAACGTACAGGACATGACGGTGCGGAGCTGTAAAATTATTCATTAGTTATGCAAGCTGGGGTGGGTCATGGCAAAATTTTAAGAGCAAGCTAATATCGGAATTCACGGAAACGTACAGGACATGACGGAAAACGACGGAGGACCGAATCGAGGACCGAGGTGCTAAAATTCCTACATATATATTGGAGAATGACTACCGTTCAAAGGTATCAAATGATTCGTATGTGTTACGTAATTCTTTACATTCCGTAATTACTCGTAAACAATGATTAAGCAAGTAACGCAAAAGACGAGATAATAAATGCAAAAACCATTGATTGAATAAATATCCATTTGTACGAAACGTGTTTAGATAAGAAAGTTAGTACATTGTTAAGCACGTTCATATTTTTCTTCATTTTTGATACCTGTGAACGAAAACGTTGGAAAAATAAATTTGTTGGTTTAAATTGTAAAACAAATTTCGTAAAGAATACAATGTTTATACAAACTTTACCATCAAATATATTTTCAAGTTTAAAGGTCGATTGCAATATTTCTGCTTCTCACAACAGTGAACAAATATAATATTCAATTAAATTACACTATGAAGAGTCATGGATAATATAGAAATTTTAAAGGGATATATAGATAAGAAATCATAAATGAAACGTATTTTTTAAAACTAGAAATTAGATAGGATGTTTGACACACGATAGATTATGTAAAAATCATGGTTATCGATATTCTACCTGAGGCTATTGATTATTTAAGTAACATAGGTAATTTGAATTTCTGCATTCTCATAACGCGATGAACAGTTTACTCATTCGGTTACATCTGAAAATCTGATTAGGGTAACTACACACGAACGTTAATTACCTTGAGGAACATGCTTCATCGAACTTTCTCCTACATTCAGTTGACGTGGAAACAGAATTTCCTTATCCCGAGCCGGTTCAACTGAAAAATTTTCCGTTTCATTCCATGAATATTAACAAAAGGTTATTACAGTGACTTTTTATTTAGAATGTCCACTCTTGAACGTACAGAATAAACGATGCGAGTCTGAAACAGGATAAAAGTAAGAAAATACGCTAGGAATAATTTATTTAGGAACACTATTTCAAGATTCTTCGACTGAAATTAACTCGTCGGAATCGCGATACATCCTTCTAAATGAGTGTTTTCTTTACATAATTTTCAAATCTGAATGATAAGTAGCTCAAATAAATAGGAACTGAGATTCGTATGAGAAATACAATATTATTTCTAACATTTACATTCTTGGTTTAAATGCAACGATTCCTTCGAATCAATATTTTTCTACGAAATATTCTCTCGTTTTGATGTAACAGGTGAACAAATTACCTCAGTACGTAATACAACAAAAACTTTACCACAGAAATTAATCGGTTGCCTTCGGCTGAGTTTTTTGGAATCTTAAATGGAAATTCGATCGGATTAATGTTAATTTAAAGTATTTCAAGTGTCATTTTCTGTTTTTTTCTTTACTTTTTTAAAGAATATTCAAATTGGAATTTAAAATGATTATTTTTAAAATTGAACATTTTCTCAGTTCCATTGTAAATTAAATCTTACGTCCATAAGAATTAATAAGAATTAAAAGCTAAATAGCAGATTTAATTTGTTTTCTTAACTCAGCACGATGATAAGCAAAGAAATATTGCACTTGAAAGTGATTGATATTCTGAGCATATACGTAATTATCAGAGTTACATTTGACTGACCAAACATTATCATCGAGCAGGATGTATGTATTCATCAAAGTTATATGTATATTACCAAAAACTTTGTCACGAGAAGGACAATTGATACGAATTCTTCTATTTATTTCACGAAATACCATTGAGAAATTCAGGTTTAGGTATTAAATATTTGAACCTCAATCTGAATACTTGAGTTTCAGATATAAATTTAAATGCCGGAATTTTTATTCAAATCTGAAAAATATAATTTAGCTATTAAAAATCGAAGATTAAAATTCAAGTTCAAATGTATCTGAACTTTGTAAATCGATATTTCTTATCACGTTCTTTTTCTTCCCGTCTCTCTGGTTCTTTTTCTCCTTTCGTTTTCAAAGGAAAGTGTAAACTTCCATTTACGAGAAATGTTGCAAGTATTCTGGAATTCACGTTGAACGTATCCTTTCGCCACATAAATGCACGCGTTGCTTCCTTACAGGGCAATCCTAGTTCCGAGTTGTTTGTATGGTTAGAAGATAGAACTAAATTCAATCGTACCAGTCCTTACCTCGTGTTTGCTTTCAAATTTCTTTCTGACTCTTTCACCTTTTGTGACTATCGAATCCAATTTTTGCAACGCGTTTGTAAGTACATAACCGTTATATGGCACGCTTAGTTCTAACATTTTTACACATTTTATAATTGACAGTTATTAACTAAAACACAGAAAAGCTACAGGTAATAATAATCCATACCGGCTTAGATTTTGGAACACTATACTTTAAAGTTTTGACACGTAATTGCTAAAGATTCTATCCAGTATAAATTGCCAGTTAATCGTCGATGCACGAACAAGTAATAGACCTTCAGCGACGGCGAAAACCAACGTTCCGATTTCACGAATCGTGATACGAAATTAAATTGAAGATGGCACCTATATCGTGTTATCAGCATGCAAACTCTAAATGTATAAATAAAAGACATATTAAAAAATTAGACAATTAAAAATGAAAATGCAAGAAAAGGAAAAACAAATTCATTATATATATATATTTGTTACTGTCACGATAAAACAAAATTTCAAAGAACTGCAGTACAACGAAATTTGAGATAATACGATAATTTCAGAATCTTTATGGAAGGACATCTATACCTCGTTAATTTCTAGTTATCGACATTACTTTACGACCGTAATCTTGTACTATTTACCGACATTTGAATTAGAAATCACAATATCCAACTATTCCATAACACTTGCTCCAAGGATCATCAATTTCCTTTCCCTTTCTCCTCTCCCACACTCGCCCCTACTACACTAATTTCTACCACACACATCGAACAACAACTACCAAGTCTCAAAGTTAACGCGCCATCCACGAAACTATATTCGCTTTACAATCACGAGGGTTAATACGTGAGATCATTCCTTATTATTTGTGATTACATTACAACTAGACAGTTATACTTGAATCGGGTTTTAGTGTGATTGAATCGAATGGACAAAAAATTCGAATTGAGTGGCAAGTAGTTTCCGTTTGTTCCAATCGAGTAGCAGAGTTGCAGTTCATTCAAATCGAATGGTAAAGAAATTTGACTCATTTGCATCGAATGATAAATACTCTTAATTTATCCGGTTCAAATGGTCAGGTATCTCACTTGACTCAAGTTGTTTCATTCCACTTAAATGGCTGGGTGCAATCATTTGGAAAATGATATATTTAGTTTTCTACGCGGACGAAATACAACAAACTCAGGATAACAAAGAAACCTCGCGATTTCGTAACATGAACCAGGCAATAGAGAACGCACACCAAGTCGATTAATGAGTGGTAATAACAGAATCTCAACGACATCGGTTGAGAACACGCAAAATGTGAACTCTCTGTAACCAACGTTCTCCTTACCGCTACGCTTTCTTCACGCTCCCTTTATGTTTCGCCTGAGTACGATTGCGCGGATTCCTCTGCTGATACGATGTTACCTTCGTATATCGCTACTTCCAGAGATGTGTTTGTGCATTAAGAATTGTTAAAGGTGTGTTGGTGGATTGGAAAGTCTCGCAATTTTATGCAAGATGTTCATACGTGTTTCAATATCTGTTATTACACATGGTAACTATTCTTAACCCTTTCGTTGCCAGTGAAGAATCTATAGAGAAACAATACATATGTAGAAACTATTGCCTCCAATTAAATAAAATAAGAATTAAGACAAAGCAATATGTTTTGATACTTTTTATATCAAAAACACATCGTGTCTCACTCGGGAGCTAATGCGCACCATTTATAGATAATGCTATATTCGTTCCAATATATTATACATATCGATATATGACGAATATTCGTTATTAATTACGAGGCAAATCCTAGGAAGTAATGATGTATGTAGCAACAAATTTGTTAATAATACCTTTATAAATTGAGAATTTTTAAATATATTTGCAAATTAGAAATTCTAAAGGATCATTTTACGTTAAATGTTAAAATTAAATAAATTAAGATCAATTTCGAATGAAATCAATATTAAAGCATTTCCTATTACAGGAAAAAGTTATGGAAATACTGGTGAGTTTTCTAATAGTGCTCCTACTGCTGGTAGGCTTCATCGTCAAACACTTACTCGTCCTTGTAAACTGGAGGAAACGAAGTATACCTCCAATTAAAAATTCTCTATTAAAGTTAAGCGCAAGTGCGTTAGCAGAGAAGATCAGGAACGGTGACGTAAGCAGCCCACTAAATAGTTTCATTCTTGCTATCTATGTACATGCTTCATCATTTAACTTCAACATTACTGTTTTCTACATATTCTTTACTAACACATTAGGAAACATTTACATTTCATTTTCTTCAAAAGTAAAAATCTTTTATCAACTTTTAACCTGACTCTTTTTAATTCAATTTCATCAGGTTTCATATAGCCAAAATTTTTAACCTCTTTCAATTGTGAATAGCTTTCCAGCCAAACAGTAGTGGAAGCATATATCGACCGTATAAATGAAGTAAATCTTTTCATAAACGCAGTAGTAGAGAACCGGTTCGAGGAAGCGCTAAATGAAGCAAAAATATGTGACGAGAAGTTAAAGAACGGAAAAGTTACCGCTGCAACACTGAGCATAGAGAAACCACTTTATGGAGTACCGATCAGCATCAAAGAGAGTTGCTCTCTTAAAGGTAAACGATCCTTCCGAAGTATTAAGAAACTTCGTTGAGACATGCATTATGAATACTTTTTTTTGAAATTAAGATCATTTAGTAATGTTCAACGCTGTCTTGATATATTATACATTACTAGTTTCTTTATAAAGGATTCTTTATAAAGGATTCTTTATGAACAAGAAAATTCCTTCAGATGTCGTAAGCAAAATGAAATATGATTGTCCTTAGATTTGAAGGATACAAATATGAAGCTTATAATTTAGACCAATATTTAATTGTTAAAAATTACGTTAAGGAAGAAGAACGTTAATGTATATACACATATATCGAATAGTAAGTGTGTGTATATGAAAAGTAAGAAGATTTAAGCATAATAAAATTGTTAGATTGTTATTATTTAACGTATTTATTTTATACATTATTGGAATATTATTTTCGATTTAAAGAATATATCGTAACGTTAAGATAGTGTAATATTATCTACTAAAATCTGATATTCATGATATTTCGTTACAAAGTAGGCTAAGAGGAAGGTCAGAAAATGTCAGAAGGTCATCGATAATACTGTTTCAAGAAAGATTGTTGTTTAGAATCGGATGCTGATAGATTGTCAGGTCAAGTCGTTATGCGTGTGCTGATGCATTACGGTACGCAAAATCGCAAATCGATTTTATAATGCTTACATGCAAAAATAGTTTGTTTTAAAGGCTGGGACCTTCCGCATACCTTCCGTATATTACTTTTAAGACTACTATTTAAAACAAACTAAAGACTTTTTTTTTTTAACTTCAAACTGTCTTGTTCCTTTAAGAAACATACACCCATAAGTCACTCCAGGAACTGTAAAAAAATAAGTAAAATGACTTGAACTAAAATTTCATTCTATTCTCAGGTAAATAAAATGTTGAATGGAACAAAGAAAAAGAAGTATATTTAAAATCATCAATTTTTGCAAACATGGTATAATAAAATTATATAATTATTGAAAGAGCTACATAAGATTACATGATAATTATTTTAATTAAACGGATGATTGAATGAATGAAGTTTATTTTAATAATGGAAATATTATAATGCATTAAGAATTTTGTATTTCAAAAATATTAACATTTTCCTCTTTTTGCAAATAGCGATGAGTTATACCGGAGGTTCCCTATTTAGAAAGGGAATAAAGGCTACAGAAGATGGAAACGCAGTTGAATTATTGAAACGTGCTGGAGCTATTCCTTTGCTAGTCAGTAACACTTCTGAATTGTGTTCAGCACTTAATTCATATAATTTTCTATTTGGTGCTACAAAAAATCCGTATGACAGAAGAAAAACAGCAGGAGGATCTTCGGGGGGTGAGGTAAATGATTCAATTTATATAGTTTATACCTTCCTAGTAATTTTAAGCTTTTACTTTCAACTTTGTTCAAAGCGAGAACATAAACTTTTGTTTGTAAATTATAAGAAATATAAAAGTATTTCTTATTTAAACACAAAACATTTGTACATTATTATTGGAAATAATATTTTTACGTTTGTATCATTTTTTTTTTTTTCATTTAAGTCCGCATTAATTAGTTCTGGAGCATCAATCCTTGGACTTGGCTCGGATATGTTAGGTTCCATAAGAGTACCAGCTTTCTGTACTGGCATTTTTGGTCATAAACCTACTGCAGGTATTATGTTCAAAATTCATAAATTTTTAATGGCTATAATAGATACTTATTGATTCAATAATTTGAATAACTTGTAATTAATTTTCATCAATATATTTGCTATTTATCCAATATTACAAATATGTATGTAATACTATATAGGTAATAAAATAATCACATATATCATATATATATATGACTATTTTTGTATAGATATTGTTCCTATTGATGGACACTTTCCTATCTCGAACAATCCAATTTTCCAAAAAATGCTAGTGCTTGGACCATTAGCAAGATACGTGGATGATCTTTACTTGGCTATGAAAGTGTTAAACTCTAAATGTGAAAGACCATTGCAGTTGGACAAACCTGTCGATATACGCAATCTAAGAGTTTTTTACGCGAATAATGTCAGTACGTTTTGTGGCATAAGAGCAACTTCATCGGATGTTAAGCAGATAATTTATAAAGCTACACAATATCTATCAGATAAAGGTGCTCGTGTGGAAAAAGTAATAATTTTACTGTAATTTAGATCAATGAATGAAAGATTTTTTAATTTGGAAATTTCAATATTTAAAATTGAATTTAAATTTAAAATATTGCGTTTTAGATGCCGCAATATTGGTTAACTGATATGTTGCCCATATTGATATCCCTATTCAATAATATTGATATGTTTCATCAGACAGACTTTATGGACGAGCAGGTATTAACAATTAAACATGATTTTTATATTTCAAATTTTTAATTTGCAAGCTACATATAAATTTTCTCTCTACACAGGATAGAAATGTATATTTTGAATTTGCAAAGTCAGTAGTGGGATTATCAAAGTATACACCATCACTTGCTTTTATACATATGATTTTAGAAATAAATTTTATTTCATCTTCAAAAACAGAAGACTACATAAAAATCAAGAACGAATGTTCTAAAATAATAAATGTACGATTGGCAATTTATTTCGATATCATTTATATACTTATATCGAATGAATCTTCAAACTTCTCTTATCATTTACAGAATGCATTAAAAGATAATGGAATATTAATATGCCCTACCTTTCCACATGAAGCACCGTTTCGCTCAATGATGTTTTTTGAATTTCCGTACAACATTTATTGTTCATTTGCTAATTATATGTATTTACCATCAACACATGTACCAATGGGTTTGAATAAGAATGGATTACCAATTGGACTTCAGGTATCTCATAATTTCAGTAACTGCTCATTAAAATCCAATTTTTCTAATATGTTTTATTGTATTTCAGGTAATATCTGCATCTTATCAAGATCATATTTGTTTAGCAGTTGCTAAAGAATTGGAAAAAGAATTTGGTGGCTGGGTACCTCCTAGTTAGGATTTAATTTCAATGATATTACTTGCATGTTATGAATACTTTGTTAGCAAACATCATTATTAGAGACTGTGAACAATGTTACGTTAACCCGAAAACAGAACTGGAGCGAGTGTTATTTATTTAGAAGTATACTTCATTAGTACATGCTTTTTTTTGTTGACGTTTTTTTATATCCACCAAAAAGACGTACGTACAGTTCACGCTAAATGTGCAATAATATACCTTGTAAATAAGTAAAATTATTTATACATAATCGAAAATAATTTGTTCAACGAAGCTTTATATTAATCAAAGAAATCATAACGGCTTCTTTATTGTAAAATATAAAGGGTTTTTATATACTAAATGTTCATCGTTTTACAATAAACCTTAATACCATAAATTAATTTCACCAAGTATATAGACACATTATTTTTCTCCAGAAAAAGAGAACAGATTCAAATTTAATGAAATATTTATTTTTTCTAAGAATAACTGCTTTTTAATTATAAAATTTGCAATATGATTTTATAGTGATCTTGAATACTAAATAATTAAATTTATCGCGTTAAAAGAAATTGTTTCCACTTGAAATACTGTGTACATGTCACAACACACCAGTTATCGACCGTTTAGTATAATGTACGTTCATTGATCCCAGAATTCACTATCAGTTCAATTATTTTTCTACATACTTCATGAAAAGTATTAGAATTAATAACAAAATCAATCTTATTGTGTTTTTTAAAAAGATTGCCTTCTTTGTTTAATGATAAAGGCACAAATTCTAAAACACTGTGCTGTAGATTCACTTTCGAAGTGGATCAATAAAAAAAATCGACAAGGTCTATATTATTTTCGCCTGTTCGATATAATTTCATTTTTTACGATCACATGGAGGCACGTACGGTTTGCCTCCATGTTTTTCCCACTCACGATTGAATTCATGTTCCAACACCTCGGCTCCACGTTTCCTGGTCAACCCAGTCTCGTCTAAGCTCAATTCGCACATCTGCATGTCATCAATACCTTGACAGAAATTTAATTTCTTGAAAATACTAATTATCATAATAAACATATACGATTGTTTGTATTCTTTAAATATCTTCAAAAGTAAGTTGTAAATAATACATAATTAGATAAATAGATAATCACTTACAATCATTATAGTGATTTTAAATGATATAAAGAATTCAGAGGAATAAGATTATAACAGAAAAAAGTAAGAGCAAATTAAAATGAATTAAAAATCAATGTTTAAAATTTTACCTGCTATTAACAGAATTGGTGCCTTATCAGGATGAAGTTCCATTTGTCTAGCGACATACTGACCATCGAAATGAGCGTACCACCATCCTCGTTTACAAGTTGCATGTGAATTGTCTTGTTGACCGGTTGCAACTGGTCGTACAAAGGGAATTCTGAAATATCGTTGCGAGGACTCAACTATGGATTGTTTCATTTGAGACCTTGGTGTTTTGGCAGCTAAAATAAAGATTGCAATATATTAATATAGTATAAAATAATCTATATTTTACAGATAAATAAAATTACCAGTAAATCTTACCAGCTTCCATAATAGATTTTGGTGCCCTTTCATTTTCGTCCATGGTTGTTCGCCTACGATTTCTTGCTTTCCATGCATGATAAACTTTTAATCTACGATGGAATTCGTGGCGACAAGCCTGTAAAAGATTACGATAACGATAAATTATTTTTCTCATTGCAGTTTTCTTATATTATAACTGTTCGATAAGATCAATTGACGTTTACCTCTAACAGCTCAATATCACAAGATGTATTTATAGCATCTCGTAATTCCGAATACTTCCACTTAGATAAGTCATACTTTTTATTGGCCATTGCTGCCTGGTTATTGCGCACTTGCTCCGATCTGTCATTTCAACAGAAATGAATTAATATTGACAAAATATACAAATTTTGTAAATAAAATTTTAGATTTGTGTAGTAAAATGTATTGCACCTCAAGCTTGCATGAACATTAAAATATCATCGTGCATTTTCTATTTTAAAACATAGAAAATGAATAATATCCAAAGAAATACAAAACATTACCAATCCATAAATGATAAAGTTTAGTTACCGTTAGTATTAAAAAAAAAATTAGTTATAAAAAATTAATAATTGTTAGTCATGCATGCAGTAAACCTCAACAAATTTTACAATACCTTACTAGCCTGTTGTTGTTCGATGGTACTCGTACATCGGAACCGCTATATGTACATATTTAACAAAACAAGATCTTATTTCTTTGTTTGAAAAATTTCTTCAATCGAACAGCAAGATTACTTTCATTATATATTCGTTATATTTCATTAAATAAAAATTTGTTTATCATTTAGAGTAGCTTATTCTAATTTTCTCCAATTGATTTAAAAAAAAAAAGAAAAATGAAATACCAAATTTCAGATATTTGAATTTCTATAAAAAACTTCTATAGAAAGTATAAATATTATACAATACCTTCGTACAGGTGGTGGAGAATCTTCGACTTGTCCGTTTGATTCTTGAGCTAATCTGACAGCTAATTCATGATCCCTCCTTTCTTGCTCCAATAATTCGCGGTATTTGTTTTCTTCCATTGCTTCTTTCTCCAATTGCGCCTTCAAAAGAATGAAAGATGTAATTTCTAATTTCAAACACTTGCGATTACTGCAGTATTTGCAGAGAGGTTTATATAATATACTATATATGTGAAAAATTATAAAACATTTTTTATTGTAATAGCAAAATAATACGCACTTGAAGAACTGCAGCAGTTCTTTTATCTTCTTCTTCTTGTTTTTTCTTTTGTTCTTCTTCAACCTTCCTTCTTATTTCGATATCATGTTTTTTCCTTCTATTTTCTTCCTCCTCACGCTTTTTTCGCTCTTCTTCTTCTTTCCTTTGCTTTTCAAGTTCTAATTCTTGTTGAATCTTTCGAAGTTTTGCTTGTTCCTCGGCAATCTTTTGCTGCCTAACCATATCTTGCAAAGACGCCATTTGTCTATTCATCTGGTTCACTAAATTTGTGTATAGAGAATCGATTTCTCCCGATTTTATTTTCTCATTGTCCTTGATCCTTTTAATTGCCGTCTCCAAATCATCTTGTAGTCTTTTTATATCATTCATAGGTTTCTCACGGTTTTTCAATTGTCTGGATGTTTCTTTCATGCCAACTAACTGCGTCCTTAAGTTCTTGATCATCAAGATTCCCTTTATGCGAGGACGATGTTGCTTTTCAGCTATGTACATTCTTGCTGTTTTTTGTAAAATGATTAAATGATGTCTTCGATAAATGATTTTGTTTTTTAATTTAATCACAGATAACGCACAGAACTGCATCTTGTTCCATCGAGATTTAAGCAACCATTTCTTTACGTTAGCTACCAATTTTCTTAAATTCTCAGGATCTGATTTCATGATTTTATCAAATTCAGCAAATTTCCCAGGCTTGAAGAACACTCTAGTAATTCCAAATTTGAAATCTTTCTTATTTAATTTTAAACTATGGAGCAACGCTTCGCAAAAAAATCTAGGTTCTAATTTGGCCAATTCTGGCGGAAGATAAGATTTATACATATTGTACAATTCTTGAAATGGAACTCTACTAGGATAACCGTGTTCCATGAGTTCTAAGACGGATGTCATTCCGGAACAACGAAGTTGTCCTAAAATACTATTTCCATCAAACTGATGTGCTACCATCTCGTTATTCGGCTTTATACAACGAATAAAATTTGTTCCCTATAAAAGAAATTTAATTTAATCATATCGGTCACCATGTTAAGAAAAATATATTGTTAAAATAATTTACATTGCTTTTCAATTTATCCATCAGTTCTCCAAGTTGTGTTTTGAATTTACTACCAACACTGATAAAAGTGAGTTTTCCCTTCTGACGAGAATTATTTGCAAATTGTGTTCTAAGAAAGTTATTATTACTTTCTTGTATTAGTGCTTCCAAAGAAGCATGTAACGCATCGTTGTTTTTCTCTATGAATTGGTTCTACGAAAGAAAAAAATTGTAAGTTTTAAAGAAAGTCAGAAAGTGTTCTAGAAAGTGTACCAAGTTTAGAAAGTATATAATATAGTGTATAATATTAATAATAAAAATACTTTCTATAACAAATAGCTATAGAAATAATAGAGTATATGGTAATTGATGTGAAGTACCGTTTGATAACAAACACCGCCAGCATAATGACGTATTACAAATCCTTCGTCATCACGCAACTCTCTATGAGCCTTCAAACGAGAAGTTCGTGGTAAAGTTATTCTGAAGTGACCATTCCACACTCGATGAACTTCACTAGTAAAATGTGCAAAACTATGAGTAGGTAATTTTGATTCCTCATCTAAAAGGCTGAAAACTCCCATGTTTTTTGATTCAATTAAATCTGAAAATTAAATAAATAAAATGCAGGATCGTAAACGCAAACTATAAAACGATAAATTGATAGTTATATTTACCAATACAATCTTGATTATCCACATAAGATATTTTAGGTACATTAAGGGATTCTCTTGCATAAAGGTCTTGTTCATACTTCAAAATCCTTTCATTAAAAAATTGTTGCAACTTTTCATTGCAATAATTTATACAGAATTGCTCGAAGCTATTAACCTTAAAATACTCTGTAAAAGTAGTAATAGTACATAATAAATTAGATAAGTAAACAATATAACAAATTTAACCTACCAAATCCTGCAATATCCAAAACACCAATATAATAACTCGAAGCCTTAAAAGGGATACTTTTATTAATACGAGCCACAATATGATCGAATAATTTACTGTAAATGGCTTTAGCTAAAGCGTCCCTGGCATTATTGGCTTCGTAAACTTTCAATGGTACCCTTAAAAAATTGAATCAATTATTTAATATCATCCTTTTACTTCTAATTTTTATATAACTTACATAATGACCGTTCCCTTGATACCACCACGACTAGTCTGCATCACTTTTGAAACTAAAGCTTGTCGAAGTTCTTCAGGATCAACACCTAATAATTTTGCAGTCATTAATACTGCTTTTTCAGAACTGATGCATATCCTGGAGCCCCCCTTCGTATCCTCAGGATTATCCTCGAACATGATGTTTCCAAGATGAAGTACCGCAGCTACCATTGTATAAATTTCCATTCTTTCTGCTTCAGTCAGTCCAAGTCGTGTCAAAGCCTTCGTAAAAAATTAAAAAAAAATGATAAGTACTTTATTAAAAAATTCAATATAAAAATCGACTATATAATACATTTTGTAAATGAAATAACTTGCAGTAATTAAGTAAAATTAAAAATTGTATTAAATTAGACGAATGTTTCATAGTAGTTAAAACATTATAAAATTACCGTTGCTTTTTCCTGTGTTGAAAAAATTATGCACAGACAAAAAGAAGCAAAAATATGAAATAATTATCAAGTTTTTTTTATAAAACTCTTATTGTTTCTTTCATTAATAAATAAATTTAATAAAAAATATTGTAGTAATTATAATCTCTTAAAAATTAAGAGTTTAAAAAATCGGTGGCTTAACTCTAATTAAAATCCATAATATTCATAGTTACTTGATCGATAGCATTGAATCCTTCAACGTCATCCAAGATTGGATCGTGCAAACTACCTTTCATACTTTGATCATGACTCTTTTGGGCCTCGTTCAACTTTTTTTCCGACTCTGCGTTGCAAAAATACTGTGTACAGCCATTCTTTAAATAGTGGAAGTCATCCGGCTTCGTAATCCCAAGTTTCGCACGCAATTCAGGAGGAGCTCCAGCGCACATCATGTAGAAAACATGATAGTTTCTTTCATCAGGGCTTTGAAGACACACTCTTGACTTTTCCAAAAGATAATGAGAAATGTAACCCCCGACTACTTGACACTTTGAGTCGAAATGGACTTCCATGAATTTACCAAAACGAGAACTATTATTGTTTCGTTTGGTTTTTGCATTTCCAAACGCTTCCAACACAGGATTTGCTAATAATAATATACACAAGTAAATATAAATATTCCTTACATTTAATTATAAAATAATTTCTATTTTATAGATTATACCATCTAAAATCTTCTGTTCGATCGGCCCAGCCGTCGATCCCCATAAGTCACAGAGATATCGAAGAAGGTACTTGGTTGATTCAGTCTTGCCTGCTCCTGATTCGCCAGAAACAATGATACTTTGTGATTGCTTCAATACTTTCATATCTCTGAATGCTTTGTCGGCTAAAAATGAAAAATGAAATTTTGAATTGAACCAAATTATTTAAAATTAGTTTAAATTGCTCAATTATAATGCTAGAAAATGTACGTACCAATAGCAAAAACATGAGGAGGTGTCTCTCCCAAAGACTTTCCTTTATAAGCTTTAATCGTATCAGTAGAATAAAGATCCCTGACCTCACAATAAGGATTTACAGCAATTAAAATATTGGCCACGTAAGTCTGCAAAATATTAACAAGTTACTTCGATATGAAATCTTTACTATTTCATAGTCTCAATCACAATTCATTATTTACAAATGTAAATATACTTAATGCATTCAAAAATAATAATTTATTATTTATAATAGTTGTTCTATCTCGACAGTCTATTTAGAAATATGGTTTCCCAATTGTTTTTAAAAATGCACTGCAATTTTGCGCGTAATTACTCACGTATATTCTATCCTTGAAGTAACGAGCTCGTACGTTGTTCAGCAGTGTAGCCTCGTTCAGGTACATCAGAGCACCTGGGAACACGAAAAACAGAGCAAACCAGTGAAAGCAGATTTTCAAAAGCGAGAAAAAGAGAGAGTCACCTGCAAGATCTAAAGATCTCCGTTCTTGACGGAAATGTCCGTGAATCACATTTCCCGTTTACATGTGAATATCGTGAAACACGTTTATTATTATCTAAATTCAAGTTAATTAATAGTCCCGGTACAAACAAATGTTCGGTACATACAAAATCATAAATAAATTGTCACGGTTAAATTTGATTCTTGTTTAAACGCATATAAAGATAAAGAAAGAAAGAAAGAAAAAATTTAAAACGAGAATTGAATTTGTAAGGATGAAATTACAATTGTCTTCAACATCTTTGGTGTATTCCCCAGCAGGATAAACTTCATCCAAAGGACAGGTACGTTGTGGATATTTTGGATCCAGTGGCATGATCAACGCATCTCCGTCAACCATGTCCGTGAACTTGGCGATTATGAAACCCTCTTGAGGGTCTCGCACCCACACCTGCTGGTTCTCCATACCAGCCTACGCTCTGAAATGACAATGAAAATATGTAATATTTCAGACAATTATATTTGCAATTCACATAATGTAACTTATTGTTAGATTATATATTTTCACACAACCGCTAGTATAATATGATATTAAAATTTTAACAAAAAAAGAACATAAATTCTTAGAAGTGAATTGTACAAAATTGTTAAATATAATAAAATATATTTAAAATTTGTTTACAAAATTCATAATCATAATACAAACAATCTCTACAACAATCAGATATGAAAAGAAACTCCTTGAACGAAAGCAAAATTTACAAATTCATAGTAATAAATAAATATTCTAGTTATCTATATACAACGATATATCTTTCTTTCAGCTAACATAAATCTCGTGATTCAGTTTTAAAGGTTACAAGTAATTTCACGGTGAGGAACAACGGGTACATTTGAAGCAGTGCACATAATTCTTTCCGTTTCACATGAGCTGTAATTGCGTACAAATTACCATAGCAAAAAGAACGCAAAATGAAACGTTTATCTATGAATTCAAAATAAAAATCACAAAAAATGAAGGTTTCTGGTGAAAGGAACAATACTTGTGGATTTTCGGCAGCGAAATTGTAAGTGCAAAAGGAAATTCTTCAGCCCATGCTCTGTAACACCAACGGCACCATTATATTTCTAAAAGAAAAGCATGTTTCTTGTAATTGGTGAATGATTTCTTGAAGTACAGAATGACTTATTATTATTCTAACTACTAAAGTATAGTACTAAATATAAAATTAATACTGCAGTAAACCTTAGCCTTCTATTGTCTTACTTTCTTCTCTAAACACGGAATTTATTGCTTCTTGGAAATTATTTCATTTATTATTGCTGTAGATTAATTTTAACACTCATTTTCCGCATGGTCGAAAATTTGTTCATAAAATGAATCATAAAAATCAACTTAGAAACAAAGCTAATCAAAGTCAAAAGTACATCTGTTATGATAAGATTGATTGGAAGTGAAAAAGAATCATAATTGATCCTAATCACGGAATCATCATATGAGTACATCAGTAGTAACATTATAATGAAATTAACGAAACGAAGAGAAATTCTGTTTTAATGCAACTTCGTCGTCTTTAGCAATTCCAGGTAAATTAATCAAGGTAAATGAAAGTAACCAGCGACTGCTAACAGTTACCACCACTTCACGACAAATAAGACGACGACAAACGAAATTGGTTCGCGTCGTGTTATTGATGGAAGAAGCATTATAAGTGCCACTGTTAAAGCCGTTCGATGAGGATTTAAGACGACCCATGACGGAACAGGCAAGAGGTCCCTAACGAAGGACAAAAGATGCGATGAATCTGATGCAAGTTTTATAAACGTCACACCACGTTGAAATAAGAAATCCCTCTATGATAACAAATTGTAGTACTCGTTTAAAAAGTATGGAATAAGAATATCACATAAAACACTGTATATCTATGTTAAAAAATATAATATTATAAACCTACAACTGTAAAAGGATTATTATTTGGTTCAACGAATTTTTGGATACTGACAAATGTACTCGTTCAACATTTCTCGACTTTTATCGGATGTTATCACGATATAGATAAGAAATGCACGGTGCTGAACGTTGCCATGATGAGTCATTGAGGCAATTTACATGAATATAACCTTACCTGCCTTCTTTACTAAAGACGGAAAAATAAAAAACGAGAAGACTAACTTATTTTAATAAACGAAGAAAATTAGCAATTCTGAATAACAAAGAATACGTTACTAGCTTGTAAAAATCGAACTCGGAAAGAAAAATAATCTCATCGTCACTTTTTCAAATATTATTAATCGGATTAACGTTACTGAATGAAGAAATATCACATGTCGATGCATCGTTGCTGCACGAACATGAAGGTACTGTAATAGAAATTTGAAAATTCTGTTGCAAATCGAAGTGGTATGCTTCTGAACGATACGTTGCGTGTTTATGTAGACGAAATCGCTGGTATGTGACTTGCATTGACATGGAGAAGCTGCTAGAACTTCTTTGCTGGAAATTAAGGATATATAGTTAATACGTTGCATTACATTTTTACATTAAATCGATAAAATATAGTGTTATATGTTTACAACTTCTAGATAATAACAATGTACTTCATAATATACTTTAGATTCAGGGATTATGTCCTGCTATATGTTATACATAATCCGTAGAACACATAGTATTATCTCTGAAGAACAAACATCAAATTGTGTAGTATAGTGTTTCAGATATTCTTAACTCATACTTTTCCCAATTCAGTACTACTTCAGTAGTACTTCTGAGCACTGCATCATCTACTATTATATTTGCAGACAATTTTAAAATAGATATTACTATGTATTATTTCCTAATCATAACGTCAGTGCGCTTAATATGATTTTAAACAGTAATAAATGTAAACAGCATACACGTATATTACATATACTTAGTTATACAACATATGTAACATTTGAATGCAAACCGTTTTCTTCACCGTTACTAACTTATTTAAATCACGTTATACTGATTACCAGGTACTGATGACCGTGAATAGCATAACGCTATGGGCACGGCTAATTTTCTAATGTACTGAGTACACAGCAGTAAGATCGTATACATCTGGAAACTTGCCTTTTGTATATTCTTAATTACATTCTTCATTTACTAATCATTATATTTTTCTCTTGTCTTTTTGTTTTCAATTAGAAATCGTGCTTTTTTGGATACATCTGAAAATGATTTAATACGTAAAATGAGATAATAGATATTAACAAGTATTTATTACAAATATTGACCTATCATTCGCATGGTTGATCTAAAAAGCGCGAGAAAGCAATGGTTTTGGCTAGTTCACTCTGTCGTCGCATTCCCAGCATCCCGTTAGGAGTATCGTAACGGTAAAAGTAACCGGCAGATCCTTGCATCGATCCTTGAAACACGAACCGAGAGTGCATCACGTTTAATCTACGGATTCCTGTTCCACAGATTCCTTGTCGAAATGATTTATGCCAACGTTGATTATCGATGTATTTATCAATAAATAAATTATAAATTTTACAATTACATTATGGTCATAAATATTACCGTTATTCCATTGCACCAATGTTACTTTTTATCACACGATATATAACTAATAGAAATGCCGTTAAGGCCAATGAAGTAGAAAATTATTATATCGATAAAGTAAGAACGATCGAATCGTTCAGTTCGTTCACCTCATTTCCTATAGAAAAACGACAACTTGCGGATAGCGAATCATTCGATCGTTACTTTATCCGCTACGAAAAGCAGTATACGACACATCTCGGTGAAATAAAATGAATGAATCAGGAGGGGAAACAGGAAACGGCAGGTGGAACCGACGGTCAGGAACAGGGAGACACGCGTCAGTTGTCACGTGCTTTCCAACAAAATTTTACTGCGGAATCACGAAACAAGAATAAAAATAAAAAGAACACATTTATTGTTTGATTTTCTCGACTGGAGTACGACACTGGAATATGAAACTAGGTAACTGCACTTGAGTCATTGTTTTACTTGGAGTATCGACGATTCACCCGAAGGCTACACCTAAACTCTAGAGTCTAGACCCTCTTTCCGTAGTGCTGTTCAGTTTCGTCACCGCGAGAAAGTAAGAGCCGCCTATCTGTTGTCACGGTCAACGAACTCAGGACAGCTACTTTACCTTCTGCGAATATACTCATTACGCATTACGTCCACGCGTTGCGTAGCTACTGTGTAATTAGACGTTACGCTTAGGACGGTTTCGTAATTCATTCGATGCGATTAGAGAGCAGAAGAAGCCGCGGACAATGCAAACGAAGTACTTAATGTAAATACATATGAACATATGATTATCACAATTATGATTATTATTACTATAGTGATAACATATAAATATAATTTTAGATGAAATTCTAAGAATTTCGTGAGAACTATTTTACCATCAGGGATATTATCATGGTTTTATAATGAATGATTACTGTGAAATGGTTAACAGTATCTACTATCAAGTACACATTAGAACGCGAAAATAACAAAACAAGGTGAAAGAATGAAGGTAAAACCCTCGACAACGGACTTACAATGGAGATTACATTAGAATGGAACGTTAGCACCTCGGACCACAAAGAGCGGTCAACGACCTGCTTCCCTGAACAAAAGGACAAGATTGAAGAAAAGGGAAACCTCAAAACTGGAAATGCAATGCTATCTTTTAACCTCCAAATTTCATTCCTGTTTAAATTACTCGTCAAGTATAATTTTTATATTCAACTCAATTCAAACATTTATAATTTTACGATATACCAAATACTAAAAAACGATTACGATTAGAAAATACTAAAAAAATTATTTACCATATAAAGAAAATTTTTGTATTACGGTCGTAAATTATTTCATTGTAAAATACAGATGTATTGAGGGCATAGTAACATGCACGGTCCGATCTTAGGCATTGCACTCACGTACGGTAGTATCATCATTTTGCAGGCCGTTTAATATTAATTGGAACAACCTTCGCGCGATCATCGTCATCAACCGCTTTCAACGATTAGATTGAATCGTGGGATGTGATTTCGAGCGTATGTTGTCTTACTGCGCTATTTGATTCCTCTCTTTATATCCCATCTATTAGTTGTTATCTTTTACATCATTTGTATTATAGTTTATGAAAATGTAGCCATCATTCACTGAGAAACAATGATCGATCGCGCACTAAAAATTTCACTAATTATATAATTAAATCTTCCGAATAGATAGATATCTTATAATTTAATATATTGTATTGAGAAAATGTAGTCACTGGCATCTAAAGAACACCTACCAATATAAAAATGAAAGATCGTGCGCCCTCTGTGAAATCCATATACAATTCAAACCAATCACAAACAATGATTTATAAAAATACAGTCGATAATGTCGAACGGTTCATTTGCATGTAAAAAGTCCTTGTGGTGCGTTGCCTTTTTACGTTGTCGAGATAATTAGACTGGCACCGAGACTGCGTTACGTAATCACGGAAAAAGGATCGTTCGTTCCCATATAGGCGAGCCGATATCGTGAGACGAGAATCGTGTTGCCAATGACTCATGCGAACATTCAAGCGAGGACCATGGAGAGAATCGTTAGTCTCGTTCTTATGTCAACATTAAGGACACATCGGTGTATACTTCATAATTAATCCTGCAGCCGGTAGATACCGACTCTGTTAACATCCCGGTCTAACCTAATTATCTAACTGTGTTTCCTTTCTACGTTACGATTCTTTATACAGTTAAAAATGATTACTGAGACAAATGACGATTTAATAACACAAATTTCAAAACAAAGGTGATATTATGCAGTTTTGACGTTATAACTAAACTACTTTAATTGTTTCTTCCGCATTATTAATTCTTTCATATGACATTAAAAAGTACAATTCAAATAATGCATCAAAGAACTTTTATCTGAATGGTTCTTTCAATGAATGAAACATAAGTGGTGAAAGCAATTGTGTTTGAGAGATAATAAAAATGTTATTATTCAAATAGATTTCAAAAATAAAAGGTACATAATCGAATAAAGCAGAATTTTATAACAGGGTGAAGGAAGCAAATGCACCCAGAAAAAACACATTGTTTTCAAATAAGTGCTTTGTTATCACGCATCCTCGCACTGTGGTAGTCGAAACTAAATGTGCTTTCATCACGCACTAGGAGACTGGAATTTTTTTCTCTTTTTTTTCTCAGTTATCAGATACACTTACGAAGAACGAACCGCATACGATTCACATGCTAATTCATAGGCGCAGAATCGTCTGCTTTCGCGCACCTGTGCACTTTCGTTCCACTCTCCTAAACCTCTTGCAATCGCAAACAAAAAATACCGCACATTTTAGTCGTATTTCGACGTAACAATAATACAATATTAAATACCTGCATCACTATTTAACTGATATTAAACTTTGTATACAGAGTTTTATAAATATTTGTAGAAATATTTATATTCTAAAAAAAAAATAATTATTCATGTCATTAATTTCAATCTTATGATCTAACCTCAAACTAATTTTTGGATTTCATATGTTACAGTTGTATATGCATAACGTACAAAACGTATCAATAAATAATATTATGTATAAACAGAAATGAGATGGAAGAATTTTGAGACATTATACTTACATGGCACGTTATTATATCAGAATTCTTGACACGTATGGACTGTTTGATAGTTCCGATTGATTTTTAAGCACATAACACGGAAACATTTATATCATCCATGAAAAATGCATTATCAATGTGAAATAATATCAAATGGCATTGACACGATATCTTGATCAATAGCTTACGGTACATATCTGCTTTTAGTTGGTAAACGAAGCGTAATACTAGGATTAATTGATACTCCGGCTAGAAATATGGTTTGATTAAGAATACTTCTCCATAAAACGAAGAATAAACAAGCGAGATGTTTTAATGATAACGACTGCGGGTTTAATTAGTACGTATTAGGGATAAATGAAGCACTGAAGATATTCTTGTTTCACATAAAATTTCCACGGATAATACGTAGAACTTGCATAGCATGCTCCCCTAACCTATTTACTATGTGAAACATCTAATATAATTTAATACGCGGAAAGTCATAAAAAATTGTTTAACTAATATGTAGACAGACAATTCTTAAATAATTTGAGTAAAATATTCTCTTGAATAATTTCATAAAATATTAAATGAACTTAAAATTATATTATGAGGAACAGTTATTTCTTGAAGATTCTTTTTATACAATTCTGAGACAACTTGATGAACCGTTCAAAAAACAGTGGTTTGAAATTAAGAAATTTATTACCTCACAGAACGAACGCATATGCTTGAAAGTACATCATACTTATGTCAGCATTTCATACTTGAAACCACCGTTACTTACCATTAATTATTTTCACGAAATAATCGACAAAAACAATATAAATAACCTAAATGATTGTCCATTAATGCGAAAAGCATTCATAATTGTTAACTATTCATTACATTTATTCATCTTGGATGTTAAACAATTGTATTAATTGAAAACAGCGACAAATAATAATATTAACGAAAATGTGAATAGTGAATAAAGATATGAAACATATGCCACTGGATTTCTATCTTTTATTAACCTCATGTTCAGTATTTCACACATTATTTCTATGTAAACATAAACACATAATATATGTAGATGCTCCGTGAAAGATTGATAATATTACTGCTCGATCGATCATTTTAAAATCGATATATAATATACTAAACTTTAAAAAGCCACGCGAATTCTTTAACCGTAAAGATTAAATGTGGACGCAATAGTTCTATCGTTCTATACCTAACTTTTCAAACGCTACTACACCCATATTACATTCTCAATTGCATAATAATTTAATACAATCACCGGTCTAAATCGAAATTGTATGTATACATTAAGAAACGATTATTGATTCAGAAACTGAAATAGAGGGAAAAAATGTGTTTGAAACATATGATGTCAGTGGGTTATCAACGAATGTTAACCATAAAAAGCATGTAAATAAAAGTATATATGGATACTTTTTACTAATAGTTTGTATATATTGTGCACATTATATTCTAGATAAGTATATACTCAGGAAAGTAACAGATTTTTAGAAATGAATAAAAATAAAAATAAGAAATGTCAAAATTAAAATAAGAAATGTCAAAATTAAAAATTAGCAGGTGTGCACATTAAAGGAAAAAAGTGTGCAGGTGTTAAAACAAAGTTACTTACCAAACCAAAGAACGATAGCCACAACACGACCGTAACGAAGTCCGACATGCAACTGGCGCTTCGATGCGTTAGTTCTGTCAAATCGGCAATTTTCGTGCGTTTTCGGATATGCCACGCGGCAAATAGCAATCACCTGGCGAATCGCGCCACGAAAATTTAATCAAGATTATTAACATAACAACAGGTGGTAATCAATTTAAAAATGAAGTATCATGAACAATATATATTGCAAATTTTACATATTTTATGATAAAAAGTATTAAAAATATCAAAATTGGAGCAAACATTTACTTTTATTAAATGGAGGGTATGAATATTAAATTTAATTTAGATATTTAATATAAAAATTATAAAATTCTTTTTCAAATTAAATATTGCAATATACTGAAATAAGTATTTATTCGTATCACTTGGCAATTTTTAAGTTTTTTATTTTGGGAGAATTTTGAACACAATAATAATAATTAAAAAAGAGAGTAATATTGGTATACAAATACAACTATTTATGTAAGTTACATAAATATTAATTGTTATAATTACAAAGGTTAGAAGTAAATTCTCTGTGCCAGCAGTAACGTAGTGACACCTACCTTAACATCCAGCAAATACAGTCGGTAAAACAAAACGTACAGTATATGCTATCCACAAACAACTTTACGCGTCTCTTTACTGTACTTAGCAAAATCTCCGATCATAAAAAATGAATTTTTAATAATATCCTGAAATAAATTTGCTATTAGCTTTGCACATAATTTAATTGTACAAGATTCTTATTTTTAAAAACATTTTTAAAACATAAAAACGATATTTTCAAATCACTCTATGGTAATCTGTAAAGTCATATAATGGTCACTGACCTCTACAAGTTACAAACATTAAGAACATAATATATCTATAGCATCACAAAAAGCCCTTCAATGAAATATATACGAGATCATTCTCTAACCTTACATATTTTTAACTTTTTTCCTTGTTTACACAAAAAATTTATCGTTTGGTTAGTTATTAATTCAAAACACAAAACAAAGACCTCATTTTGAAAAGCAATCCTCTTAATATCATTTTCTCACCGTAACAACTGAAGAAAAGGAAAAAGAACATGAAATTGTTTTTATCCTTGGTATTTGACGATGTACCAATCCTTGCAGTTTTTAACAATACCAATATTGCTATGTATATAGGAAATATTCCCACGTACTACATTTTTCTCTCATTTTCTTCATCGTGATTCGTTTAGAAAATATTAACTATATTTTCATTTAATTATTCCAGCTTCATTATTAACAAATGTAACTGGGAAGATAACTCCAGGAATTACATTTTACTTAAATCGATACAATTTCAGGTACAATAGTGAAATATTTCTACCTTCCGCTTTCTCTGTCCTCTTTTCAAACGCAATTTCTATCGAGTTCCATTGCAGGACCGAGTTTCCGTTCACTTCCTTGTGCGGTGACCTCTAGGAGGAAAATTCTCCAGTATTCGCGCAAGGTGTATTAACGGACTTGAAAATTTACCACGGTCTGTCATACGTTGCATCCAACAACGACCATATATTTAGTGATGCGTCACGTGGGTAAGAACAATTCAAATAAATCTATTCCATTATTGATAGTCTTCAAAGGATCTTTGATTTGCGAATGATACATAGGTAATCCCCTGGTTCGAGGTAATCCCCTCGATCAGCCACATTAAATGGAAATTTTTCTGTCACTCTATGAACAAGGAAGAATCCATACTCTTCTTCTCTTTCAACTTATATAAGAGCCTAAAAAAGATATATAAAATAGATCATTATAGCAATAGTACCAAAGTTACTAAATGAATCACTACAATGTTTTTATAATAAACAATGTTTATTTTTCCTTATATTTGCTTTCTCTTTTGTTTCCCTTTAAAATCAGACGTACATTAAAGTGCACTGAAAAAATAAAATTTTGCAATAAATATACTACGTGTTATTTATGAAACATGATTCATTATGCAAACATAAGAGTAAGTTCAAACGTAAGAGTAGATATTTCTAAAGACGATGATGTTTCACAATTGGGTATGACGAGACAAACACTCCTTTTCGTTCTCCTTTTTTTCCTTCTAGAGCATAATATCGCATTTCCTGCGTGTCAGCGATCGACGCATGTCCCATCTAGCAGAATTACAGGTCACGCGCAGCTATACGAGCGAAACAGATAATCAGAGTCAACTGTAAAGAGCAGCGTCGCGACAAATCTTTGGACCTGAATCGCCAAGAAAATTCTTCCTCCAAGCAACTTCATGAAAGCACAGTAGTACCCTACAAAACAAAACGAACTGCTTTACTCTTACGTGTGTAGAGTATCTTCCTAACGATAATGCACAAGTTAACAAGAGTCAAATTTTCGGTCTCAGTCCCAATTACTTAATCTAAAGAACCAAAGCCTTACTAACCTCTTGGATATCTTAGTCTCACATTTTCTATTATCCAATGTCTTCCAACTGTTTTCCCGATGAATCATAACAGTGATATACCTGGGAAAAAATAAGTATTCGTAAAAAGTCTCAATTGAAACATAAAGGAAATACGATATTGTTTGGGCCTCCTAGTTCCAGCGTTTATGTATCAAAGAAGAAAATATACTTTATACTTAGATGGACGTTGTGTTCATCTCATAAAACGACTGTTTCAACTGTACATTGTGTACGTACAACATGGTCCTCCTTTTGCGGATAAGGGTGACGTAAGATCGATTGAGTAGGAAACGGAACGTATTAAAAACAACGAAAGCCAGACTGCAGCAACTGATCAGTAGTCACCTTGAAAGATTGCATAATTAGAAGAATAAAAGATGCGCAGTAAAAGGGAAACGGAAAATGTAAGACATAAAAAATAATTTTTTTATGCCTATGTAATACTTTGACACGAAAAAAGCGGACATATTTAATATTTAATAATGTTACACATTTAATGATAACATCTGACGTTTGTAACTACATAGATTGCTACTTAAGTAAATCGATATAGTGAATATGACTCTAATTGTTACACTCGTTGAAAAACTTGTGAAAAATTGTTGACATTTTTAGGCGATTAAAGTGCATCAAATGTTTCTAAACAATCATAATCCATTTGACAACAGACAGTAATGCAATTAGTCAATGGCTTTAACTGGTAATGTAATATCGATGTAAGATAAAAGATTTGCGATAATTTCCAACATTAAGGTGATATTTGATCGTTATTCACGGGACATTTGTTCCAAATGAAGTTCTATCATAGTGATACCAGTATGGTCGAAGCTAAAGAAAGGGGAAACGAAAGGAATTCTATTATATTTCATATTCCAGATTATCCGAAGGTAAGAAAAATTTCTAAATTTCTCGTGTCTAAATTTCTCGTGTAACGGGACAAGGTCGAAAATCGTTAGTGTGATTAGCAACGGTATGTTTGTTTAATCATTTCATCTTCTCTTAATTTTATAATCTAAAACTTAACTTGTAATTCATACGAAATTTTGATCAGGCAAAATAATGATAAATATAAATGATCAAAAATATAAAGAATTCTAACAGGAATATGACATGGTACATACACAGTCCATACCATCAGTGTGATTTGAGGTGACTTTTATCCCGACCTAACATACTCCACCTGTTTGATCTTAGTTGTTAAGTAGATGCTGAACGTGCAGCAAGTTATTTATGAATACAACACGTCCACATACGTGACCGTGGTGAATTGACGACTTAACCCGTACCCAGGAATCCCCGGATAGAAAAGGGACGTATACGCACACGGCAGGGAATCCCGATAAACAGGTATGAAAGTTTCCTTTACCGACTCTGCTTACTCTCTCCTGTGCAATGTTGCTATTCTTCATTCACGCATCCGACTCAGTGTGCTGTGGTTCGCCGGAACTCTTGGAAGTGCCATTTACGTCCTCCGTGGAGTTTAGTGGTCCGTTTACCTGTGAAGATTGTTTGTTAGTTATCCAGAATATATATGTAATAAATATTAGTAAGTTCATACTGAAATTGATTAATGTGATTATGTACCGGATTATGGTCTATCTTCTCTTATCAGTATCTCACAAGATACACTGTGTGACTTCTTCTGCGGTAAATAGATTGTATGGCACCGACATGGTTATGATATCACTGTTCTTTATAAATATTTAAATTTTCGATAGAGTTCGAAGATGTTTCCTAGCATTTGCAAATGATCTCAAAATTTTATGTATGAGAAATTCAGTTTACGATTCATTTCTGATAGTTTAGTTTGTGCTCTAATGTGCTTTCGTGAAAGTTTCCCAGTTACAACAGTCCATTTATGACAATGTTTTCATTAAATATTTCCAGTATTTCAATGAAAATAGCAGAGTTCAGTTACCATACGAGTAAAAGTTACACAATTCTTTGACACATGTGTATTTATTATCAATTCGATAATTTATCAAAAAGCCAAGAATAAAACAATTATTAATAAAAGTTATTTATTAAAAGAAGTGATGACAGAGAAATATTGAATGATTTACCACTGATAAATAGGCGAACTGACACATTTCTTCTGTCTTTGTTTATTTAAACTCAGAATTCATGTTTATGTCTTGTCTAAGCCTGTTATGTATTTGTCACAGTATCATCTATTTGTTATTGTTATTCAGTATTGTATCAATATTATTTTACAAAACTTTAACAACCCACCCACTTCACACGTGTTCATCAATCATTATTATTGTAATACTTTAGAAACATCATACTTTGAAATCATCTTCGAGAACTGTTAAGATATAATACAAATAATCTTATAATTCTTTGAAAAACAAATTTGTCTTCCATGCTTATTTGGCATACTTTTATTCCCTTATACTCCAGTATCAACATATCTATAATCCCCAAGATTCCGTTAATCATCATAACAAGTCTCTCAAAGCGGATTATCAATCTTCAATAACTTACAATTGCTAAAAATTGCCTGCTAATCACTTATCTTGATTACTGTGACCCTCTCGCAATAACTGCTCCACTGATGAGAATTCAACAACTCTTAATATGTAACAGACAGAGAAA